TCACTGCAAGTAGTTTTTCTTTCCAGCTTTGCCTATTTAAAAAATAGATTAATAACTCTGATACCACATTTATATCACCCAACACTCCCTGAACAGATGTTTCCAGCAATCCTAAGAAACAGGGAACCTTTGTTTTCTTTTTTTATAGCGAAAAATTCCATTTTCCCACTGCCCCCCTCTACACTCAGTGTCACACCTGGATGTTTGTATTAGAGCAGAGTGGAGTTCAGGTTCTTGTGTTCTGTTACAGGCTGCTACAGGAGATTAGTACTTTCCAATCAATACTCCTTGCTCTCTCGTACTGGTGATAAAGCTTTATTTGCCATTTACTTTAGGTGTGGTTAAAAAGCACAGATTTTTTTTCATGCTACCTGACCTTCCTGCAGCGGTTGTTTTCTTCTTCCTCAGAAGAAAGTTATTTGTTCCACCAGCTTCTGTGCAGTCTCATACCCTTTTTGTACATCTGGAAGTACCCTGCTGCATCTTAACTCACCTGTATATTGCACCAGGACTTCCAACATGTTTTCTATTTCCTACTGGATCTCCAAGCACGAGTCTTCATTATCCCTACACCTCCTTCTGTTTTAACCTACGAAAATTCCTATTTTCTCCTACTGAATCGTGTCATCTTTTATAGAAACCAGGTATCCTCACTAGAGCTGGTAAATTGTCACTACTTGTCACAGGCAGTACACCCGTGGTCAGTGTGACTGTTTCACCCTTCAAGTTTATCTGTAATGGAAGGTATTTGTTTTGCAAGGCACTTGTCAAAATTCTTTTCTTGTCTATCCCAACTAGCTGCTAGACATCTGGCAATTTTTTTTCCCCTTCATGCCCAATTATCAGTTGGTCAAACTTTGTTATGCAAGGAAACAGCAACCTAACTGCAGTTGTGCAAATTTCTTTCTTCACTTTCTGCACAAAAAAAGTGCAGAAAGAAGTACTGCTGAGCTATATTTTACTATTTGTTCCTATTGCTCTTTTATAAAAATTTTAACCAATTTCATTTTCATTCACACAACTGGTTCTCTATCAGATATTTAAAGTGTCATGAACCAGCACTCCTGTCCAACATAGCAATTTTCTCTGTAACTCACTGCACTGAGCTGCTTTCTTTCTGTATCGTTGCAAATACAAGCAAGATTTGTAAATACTAGTATACCTGGAGGCTTTGAGATAATGTTATGTAATTTTAAGATAGAGAAAATATTTCTTCATCACAAGTCATTTCACAGAGAGGGCAAGGCACTGAGTTTATCAAGATGTTCCACGTAAGATCTGAATTAGGTCTATGTGGTATAGTGGTTACTTGTCTTTATGGAGGTTGTACTTGGTTTATCTATTCCAGGTAATACACGGCAGCTGCTAATTTCAGACAGGAATTATTGGCATAATTCAACCCTGATCCATTATAGTTAATTTAGAGGGAGAGGTGGGCTTCCCCATAGCAGGGAAAGGCTCAGCCAAAATTTTGTAGGAAGGAACTGAAAGCTGAGTTAACATGGCTAAAAGACTGTTCTGCTTCATATTCCTCAGAGAAGCTAAAAGTGTCCTGGTCAGAGCTGCTGAAGTCCCTCAGCAGCCAATGTGCAAAAGCACTAAAAATAAAACAAAAAAGCACTACTAAAGATATTCCCCTGACCTTAACCTGCCAACAGCACTCTCAAAACACTGTGTATCACATCCTGCATTTTTCTACTGTCGCTAAAACACGAAATAAGTAAAGCTTATCTGCCGCAGGCCCTAGCAACACACAGCTGACCTCTACCACTCCCACAGGAAACCCAAATCGCCGTGCTGAGGTAAACCTGCAGCGCCACACACCACTGCGGGCCCCGAGGGAGACGAGGCCCCTCGCCCAGGCAGGCTGCTGCTCCCCAGCACGACTCTCCCTGCCTTACGATGAAGCCACTCGCAACCTCACCACCACCGCAGGCCGCCCGGGCCCCGCCGCAGCACCCCACAGACGACGCCACGCTCCGGCAGCAACATGGCGGCGGGGGCCGTCACGTGCCCGGCGCCGACC